TAGACTCATCCAATCATTAAGGCATGTAATTTGAATTAAGTACAGGAATAGTTTCAATGACACTTCTGATTAGTTACGTGCTTAAAGTTAAGTAATGCTGAATACCTTCCTGAACTGAAGCTTGCGTGTTTCTTCGCAAACTCTGCCCTAATGGAGATATCTTAATGTAATTTTTTCCCCCTTCAAGTCAAATGCTTGTTGACTTGAGAAATACCCAGCTTGGGGAGATTTCAAATTGCTACACCACAGCAAACCACCACAATTACAATGCGTTGCTTCTTGGTCCTCCATTGCAGCCAAAGGCAAAGGGATATGAAAGCTGAAACAAGCCCTGTTTTGTATTTCTCATATGTCCCTTTACCAGCACTTCAAAAAATCTGCTGTGTTGTCAAAAATAGTCTTAGTTTGGATGACGACAGTGCCACTGTACCCTAAAGCATTTAACTACAACTGAACTGCTTTAAACATGCAGTGATTGCTACGTGGAGACACATGCCAGTCCATACTCTCCAACGAACAACTGACTTCACCTGCTTCCATTTATCTGTCTCATGAATATTGCATATATTATGCACCATAATATGTTTTAAGACCAAAGTATTACTACATGAAGTTGATGTTGGCTTAAAAGCTCAGTAATATTAAATTCTTCTCTTCTTTTTAGTTTAAAAAAATTCTAAAATTGCCTAAAGTAAGAAAAATTAAAACATTTATATTTAATCAAAAAAGATTTCTCCATAAAACTGGTTTGAACAAAATAAAAAAAACCCAAATACATATTTTGTCTAATGTATGTAAAATCTTTGCCCTTTATACAAAGACTAATACAGAAAAAGTGAAAACTATTGAGTTTTTCAGAATGAACATCTTTGAGATAATTTTGCCCACAGGTTGTCTGAATTCCCTTTCAGCAGGCTCTGGCTTCCCAGTCTCTATAAGGGACTTCTGTCTAGCCCCTCTCTTTCTTTCTTCCAATATTCTTTCACTGTAATTTTAATCTTCATCTTCTTTCTGTTTTTGCAATGTTGCTATTTGTACTATTCTTTCACTGTTCTTTCCTCCCCCATATGCTGGTTTAAATATTCCAGTCCCACAGAGATTTTTATTGCAACCTCCTCCTTCATCTTCTTTCATTTCTTAGACTTCTTTTTTTATCCTTTCTTTTTTTCCCTCTTAAAAAAATGTTCAGGGGATTAAGAAACCAAAATGGCTCACATTACTACTGAGGCATCTCTAAATGGCAAATAAATAAGCTCTTTGAATAGTGACATTCATTCCAACGAGATGCCAAAATATTATAACAAACAGCAAGATGAACACATGCATGTTCTTCATGCTGTCGTGGAGTGGACTGCCCTTCTTCCTCACCGCAAGTCAGAAAGAAAGACCAGAAGAACTGAGAAGTCCAAGATTTCCAGTCTGTGAAACCCTTGGGAAGAAAAATTAATTTATACCCTTAAAACTCATTTAGGGGAGGGGAAGAAGAAAAATCAAAACCATTTTTCTGGGTCCAAGTTAACTACTACTTTTCATCAGAGGATTTCCTAAAGGCCAAGCAAAGATTGTTCCAGGCATTCCACAAGCACAGCTGCAGTTGGCCCCTGAGTACGTTTCCTCAAGAAAAGGAACACCAAGGAAAGGTATAGCTTCAGTGCAAAGTGAACACAATGATGAGACACAAACATTAATTTACTGATGCTTTTTTAGTGAAGGGAAGGATATGGGACATGGAAAACAAGGGAGAAGGGGACAAGACAGTCAAGCCTGAAATGACTTAAAGACTGCAAAGTGAAGAGAAACAAGAGTGCTGATGTGCACATAGCCCAGTCTGCACAAACCATGGCAATTCCAGGCAAAACTATAAAGAGGTCAATTAATTTCAACCTGAACATGCTCCTACTTTGACTGGCATATCTGGCTGGCCTTCCCCTACAGCCATGTGACAGAAGCAAGCAAGACAATTCGCGGGTCTCATTTTCCTCTGGACTGGCCTCCCTTCCACAGCAGGTGGTTCTGAGGCTCCTGGGTAAAACAGGGTCTCAACCTGGATCTAGTTTTTGCTTTTTCTTTCAAAGTAGAGATCTGCTTCTACAGCTCATCTTCTGACTGGGCACTGACAAATACTCTGCCTGGAAAAGACTTATCCATAACTGAAAAGAACAGAAGCTAAACAATTATTTCCCTAATGCTCTTCTATCTCCTTTCTAGTCTTAATCATTGTGCAATTCTAATAGGAGTTATGCAACCCATAAGGCTGCACAGTCTAGTTCCACCATTCCAGTTTCAGCATTGCTCTGATTTTGCAAAACATACTCTCCTCAATCTACTATAATTGGTTCACAGCCACAGTTTGGAAGTATATATACTGCCTGTAAACAAGGGGAAAGTGGTCCTGACTGGTTTCTAGCTAGAAGGAAATAAATGTATATGTTAACAAAGCTTTGGAAAAAAAAATAAAAGCACAACAGTTTATGCACTAAGCTTGATATTCTTATCTCAGGGCAAGTCCCCATATTCAGGTTTCCACACATGAATTGCATAGAAATTCTCTAATTAGGACTCAGCAGAGTGATGACAGTGGAATGACTGCACCAGGATTTCAAAGCTAGTAACCCAATTAATTATGTCTCCTCCTAAAAATGAATTTAGGATCTCCTTCAGCAAAGCTAACCACACAAGACATAATGAACATTGATGGAACTTAAAAATATTTGAGGAATCATAACAATTTTCTACCATTTTGCCTACTAAGTTACTGTATTTCAACCGGAAATGTTGATGGCTATTGCTTCTACAGTTTGGAAGTTTGTTAGTAATTTCATTTGCTACAGGGGAAAAGAAACCCCTCTCTGCAGTCTGCCAGAGCCGTAAATTACATATACATGAAGTGTGAGGTGTTGCTTCAAGTTTGTTTGTGTCAATGTACCTCCATCTTGACACCATCACTTTTCTACAGTTCCAAACTTTGCTTCTACTAGCAGAAGCTGTTAAAAAATAGCAGAGACAGAGTAGTGGCTGAATTAAATACTTGAAAGTAACCCAAAACTGGTGACTTTTCCCAGGACTTCACCAGGGCTATAAACAAAAAGACCTAATGCAAGACTCTTAGAAAGTCTGAAACGCATAGAAATTCAAAACAATATAACATTAACATTAGACTGACAATAAGCCTGCTTGCCATTAAAAGTAGGTCCTTGGTCTGCCCTAAATGAAGAAGGCTCAGTTGTGAAAGCAACATATTCAATCTGACTATGAAATTCTTGTAATGTCTTCACACACATCTCTCCATTGCCTTTGCTATAAATACGCAGAGGTCATACTTGGGGCTTCCTTCCATCCTGGAAGCAGCTCTAACGTGGGAGAGATTGCTTCAGGCAGACCACTGATGGCAAGTTCCCTGTTAGAAGTGACAGTGAAATGACAGAAATCCCTCTAAAAAATTATAGCCTTCTCATTCTAAAGAAGGCATAAAACCAAGGAATTATGGAAAATGATGCAGTATCATTTTGATGTACTTTCCATTCCTTACTCCTCTACATTTTCAGAGGAGCAAGACAGGCCACTACAACTAATATTTCAAACGTGAAATTGATGTCCTGTTTTTAAAGACATGTGACTGAAGTCGCACAAGAATAAAATGGTGCTAATCTGTGGTGATCCAGTGATTTGAATAAGCGTAACTCAACCTCAACCTCCACGTTATTTAAACACCCTGGCTCTGTTCACTCTCTTAAGTTTGTGTGGTCACTGCAATAGCTTCAGAACCATGAGCATACTGCAAGGTTTACCTTCATTTATAAGGTCCATAATGAATAACATGGTTTACAACTCTTGGAATATTTATCACTTAGAACTTGAGCCACACCTGCAGCACAGTATTTTTCCAACAGAACAATACCCTGTCTGCTCAATGTGTGTGTGAGGGCAGCAGTACACCCTAAGTCAACTAAGCCAACAAAACCATGTGGACACAGCTATGCCAACAGAAGCTTTGCCCAGCCTGTATCATTCAGAGAGGCAGTGTAATTACATTGTTAGAAAAACTTGAGACAGATATTATTCATATAGATAAGACTTGACTTAGATAGCCAATTTCAACACTGTTAACCTTTAAAAGAAATAACTATTTCAATGCCCAGAGTTCTTAAGAAAGAAGAGAGGAAAAAGCACATCCTGGAATTTTTCCAAAGCACTTTTTTTGACATTAAGAGCAAGGGAGATGCTGCCTGTCCTCCCAGTGAAAGCAAAGTACCTCAAACATCCCGTTCCAGAAGTCAGCTTAGACATGAAGGACTCCAAAAGGAATACCCAAACAAAAAGACCATGTAAAGGACTTTTTTTTTTTTTTTTTTTTTTTTTTTCTTAATTCCAGATCTGAGATTACATGCAGTGATACTCTGGACAGTAGCTTTTATGTGTAAGGCACGTTAGTAACTGGCAGCTGCCACAGCAGCAGCAACAGCTTCTATTTTCAGGATTACCTCAAATGCAAAGGCTTAAAATAACACACACTCAGCTGAAAACAAAGGAAATGTTAATACCTGGCTCTCTCATAATGCTTTTTACCCATAAATTTCAGAGCATAAAGTCTTCTCGTTTTACTCTGTGAACTCTGAGAAAAATGAAGACATAGAACAATTAATTCAGACCCTAGTCAAAGTATTTAATGGAAGAGCTAAAAACTGAGCCTGGACTTACTGTTTTCCAGTCTTGTATAACTTTTTCTCAGAAAAATATATGCAAATATCATTGAAAACATGTTTTTGTACTATATACACAGAAGCACTGCTATTGCCAGGAAATAAGCATTCTGAAATGACAGTGAATGACCTATGAACAGGAATACTTATCAAGTATAAATACCCAAAAGCGTACAATGTATACAGGATATTCTTTATACTTAAGCTATTTGTAACACCATACTTAGCTCCACACTACCCATTAAGCCTAACAGATGTTTTAGACAACGCTCAGAAATGCAGAGATGTATCAAAGCTTACCTTCTCATGATTTTCTATCAGGATTTCAACGACGATATTCTGAAACTTCAGGTCCATGATGGCTGCTACAGTTTCTTCCTGTGGCCTCATTAAAGTTGGTCCAAATACCACCCCTAGATTTGCCACAGTCATTAAATTCCTCTTGGCATGCTTTGAAACACTTTTTGAGAAGAATTGAAGGAAAAAACAGGAAATAGGTTATGAAAAATTTCCATTACTGTTGGAAACTTCAGTCTACAAATGAAAACATTACATTTCCCTAATCTATGTCTTAGAAGTTTGTTTTGTGCAAAGTTTCTTCAAATAAAGTCTTACTGAATTCTGGAAAACAGAAAAGCCATTCTTCCACTGGTAATTTAAAAACAAAAGCAGCCTCTTACTGAACTTAAATATATAAAATGTACTTAGCCTTGGACCAGGGCAAGTGTGAAACCAACTTAAATTTGCTAACAAATCTCCACTATTCGCTTTGCCAGAATTTGCAAAAAGAAAGTATAATATTCCCTTTCTCACTTCAATCAAACCCTCAACTGCTGGCAGGACTGCTAAAGTAAATACTTATATGGCTTCATTAACAGATTAGATTTCTGCCTTTCCCGCCAAAATATACACAGCATGAGTCAAACGTCTTGTCTGCTTTTGAACTTTTGGTTCTTAGTATTGTGTATGACAGCATCGAGATGGGCTTCAGCTCCAACCATACTTAACTAAGGCCCTTGGTAGTTAAATGAAGGTAAGGAGAAGAGTTCTGACAAGGTAGGAAAACAGGTCATAACACTTACTTTGCTAAATGTTTCACCAAAATTTCCAGCATCTCTTTGTTCTTTTCTGGGAGTTTATGGACCAAGAAGTGAACAGCATTAACTCGAGACTCAGGACTCCCACTTTCTACGGGACATAGAAATAAAAAACTTATCTTAAAAAATAAAAAATGAGATAAAATCCACAGAAACACAAAGCTTCTCCCACCCCTGCACGGAAGCATTCTGCACACACTTTGCTTCAACACTTATGTATCTCCAAACATAGCAGTATTGAACATATGCGCTTTGTTTTCACAAGTAATCTTGTTCTAGAATTACCAACTTATTTGCTTATTTTGTGAACTCATCTTTCAATCCACCTGCAAAAGGAAGCCTTTGTTCATCTATTTTTAAAAAAATGACAGATGTAGTTATTGTTTTGCTGTGTTGGACTCATCTGCTTACAAATATACTGTAAGGCGAGGAGTGATGTTACTGGGTGCCACACAGTGGAACTGTACTACTTTACATTTTAGCATCTTTAGATGATTGTCCTCACCATTAGAATTCAGTTTTGTTGGTACTATGCAGCTAATGATACTGCATTTATGCAACCTTACATTGGAAACTGCATAAGACAATGTGTGCAGAAGATTCATAGGCTCAGAAAGAGAAAATCTAATGACCTCTGAAGACACAAAAGAATAATAATGCAAATAACCTACTGAGTGAGATTAATACAATAAAGGCCCTTGAATAACAACAGCATCTCTCTCTGGTGCAGTACGGAAATAAGACAAAATAAGCAAGCAGCTTTTTATTTTTGTGTGTTGTGTTGACTTGAATAATTTTGATCCCTAGAAGTTTCACTAGTACACAGATGAAAACAAGAACCTATAAAACCTGAAAATAATCCCTCTTCCCATTTCTCAAAGTTGTATTAAGTCACAAAATTGCATCTCGGTAGTGGTTACAGTGAGAGGAATGGAGGTATTTCTCCTGTATATAACAATACTTAGTACAAGGTACATAAAGAGAAAAACCTACTCTGAATGCAAGTTTTGACACCAGCACCACTCATCAGGTCTCATTTTACTCTAAGGCAACCTTGATTGTTAAGTGTATTTATTATACACTTATTATTAAGTGTTAAGGGCACTTCATATAAAATACCATCATATTTCTTCAGCGCATATTGCTACAGATTTTTTTTCCTTCTTTGCATACTACTACAGATTTTAGGGTTGGATTTTGATTCTTTAGCAGTGAACACCCCTGCACAGACTGCAAGAAAAAAGGCTACCACAATGCAAAATGTTTAGCTTCTAGTCAGCTAATTAAAATTCAGAGAGACAGAAAAACATAAGCCTTCTTTAAAGCAAGACTATTTTACATATATGTGAAATCACAAACCCTAATTAAAGAATAGCTAAGCAACTTAATCAGAAGATACAGTCGAGTTTTACATAGTTTCAATCTACACTGATATGTAAAAAGAAAAGAAAATTGAAAGGAAAGCCTTTAATTTTGGCTTCCCCCTTGACCTAATAGTTTCAGAGAAAAGGATATTCCTTATTATTCCTGGTGGTGTTGGTTTTTTTATAGCCAACATAGGAAACAACACTGACTAACTATTTTTAAGTATGCTGTAACTCAAATCTGCAATGTTGATTAAATTTCCCTCCCACTACACAGAATCTATCCCTCTACAAAATTTTTTTACTACTTATGAACCCTGTAATATTTAAAACATGTAACTACAACTGAATTCCTTTATTGAAAGAGAGTATAAAATAGAGAAAGGAAAATAAAGTGAGAAACTGCTGTCAAAACGTCATAGATCAAAAAGTTATTTTAACACTTTCCCATATAAATGGGCAGACTCATCATTTGGCAAGTATGTTGAATTTTGTTTAAGCACTTAGCCTCTAAGGTGTGCCTTGGCAACGAATTTCATAGACTAATTCTCATTTTAAATTAAGGACCACAAGTGAATACATTCTGCAGTCCTGGAAAGCCATTACAACACGAAGAAGATAAAGCAATTGTCTCAAAGTTTATTTTAATTTTGCTTTCCACAGATTGCCAGAAGTGCTACAGGCTGAAAAGAAAATCAGCTAAATATCTGTTTGATACTTTGCCAAAAATTTTCTTGCAGTTTCCCTCTACTCTCTTCCAAAAAGATTCCATATACATTAGATACCATACAGCTGAACTAGAAATGCTGTTGTGTCTTCTCCAAGTCTGTATTTGAACTGCCACAGTGTAATCTGCTCTGCTCTTTTCTTTCTTCTACTAATATATAAGGAACGTTCAAGCCAGCCTGGATACAAAGCTAACAAGGCACTGAAAAACAAGGGTCAGGCAGCTGTGCTTTAAGGATTCAAATGAGATCAAATTAGCATACTTTCTTTCACTAAGCTTCACACCCTTTATAAATGGAAGGAAAAAAAAAATCACAGTCTAAGTAGATGTTTATCTTTATACAATTAAGATAATATGAATGAATGTCTACAATGTCTATCCAAAAGTTTTTCCATAAAAGTAAAAATTGCGCCATGTTAAGTCTGTCACAAGCGTGTCTGTCAATAGACCTGTCATATGGGACACACACCAAAACTGAACACTGGTTAAAACCTATGTATTTTTAAAACATTTATTATTTCTTATTCCTGTATCTTTACTGGGCTGAAGAATATTTCTGAAATTGCATTTGCACTGCGCTCCTAAGGCCGCAACAGTACTGTAAGAAAAGATTTCTATTTGAACTACGGTCATATATTTACTGGCAGGAACGATGAATTCTCCATGCAACTCATATGTCATCAGTGGCTCTGGAAGGCTTCTGTAAAACAAGGATGACATAGTAAATTTAGCTCTATTCTCTTCTATCTATATTTACTCTAAGCAGGAAAACTTTTTAAAACTCAGTAGTATAATCCTCACAGTGGAGGCAACCATTGTTACAGTGGCCCTTGAATTCAATGATTTCCAGTGCAAATGGAAAACATGGTATATCAGGAAAATAAGACTAAATACATCCATTCACCTTCCATAAGATGAAGTGGTGCTTCCAATCTATCATAACGCATCTTTCCAAATTATACCACTGAGACTGTTTGTCAGATGAAGATTGTACACATATTCTTTATTAGTGTTTTTAAAATACAAAGAATCACAAGTCAATGTGATTTCCTTACTGGAAAGAAATAAAGATCCTAAAACAGTTAAGTTTGCTGAACAGCAGCTGTCCACAAATCAAACTTCTAAAGTATTTTAAATGGAAAACATGAAATTGAAAACCTTAGTCATCAATGAAAAATGTACTGAATAATGAAAAAAAATCAGAAAAAAAAACCTTTGCCCTTTTTATTCTAACCACATTAAAACACAAAAAGGCAAAAAACTCTTAACAATTTTAGCTGACTTTCAGTCACGACTCTCAGGAAGTTTACTAACTATTCAGGTTTCTGAACCATCAAGGAAATGCTTACGTATCTAACACAAAAATGTTTTGGGACTTGTCTCATATGAACATGAGTATCAGTGTTGCTACATTATTTTTATAAGACAAATAACAAACATAGTATTTGCACAAAATGAGCCTCTATTCCAAAATATAGGAAAAGGAAGTAACATAGCTTAACACGAGAGACAAACAAACTTACCGCAGATACTGCTTCATAGCACTAGTAATTGTCTTCACTTCCCAATCTACAGAGTTTTCCAGGTCAACTTCATTGCAGGTTTTTGCATCTAGAAAATAATCAGAAAGAGAAGAGGGACATGAAAAAAGGGAATTCTAAATCACTATGCCCCACATGAACAGCAACGCATTCAATTTGATCATTATATATTTGCTTAGATGGCTGTAGAAATATGTCCTTCTTACTAATAGTTAACACTAAGAAGACTTAATATCCAAACCTCTTTATAAATTCTATTCCCATATTTTGTTTTAAAAAGTATTTACTGCTGACTTTTTCTTTAATGAAGGATTAAAAATCACTTTCATGTAAAAAGATCTCTATAGCAATTGATATTTTCACACCTTTAATTAAACAGAAAGAAGTACACAAACACAGAAAGATGTACAAAAACAGTTTAGAAAAAAAGACCAATTAAGCATAAATATATTTTCCTCTTTTCTTTCATTATTTAAAATGCAAATACACTGAGAAATCTTTTTTATTTCTTTCCATAGTTTTCCTTGTAATTTTGGACTGATGATGAAAATAGCCAACAAAGTGCAGTATGACCCTCTTTACTGTGTGAAAACCTTTAAGAGTTGCTCCAAAAGTAGAAAAAGGGCTGTTCTCTATCAGTAAGTTTCCCCTACAAAATGGCCTGAATGTTTTCCATACTTCACCAGCTTTAGCTGAAGTGAAAAAAATACTTGCTTACTTGACCATTTGTCAGGTTCACAGAACTCCTCCTGTCTTCTGCCAGGTTAGCTGGTAGAGTCTTATAACGAGACAGATCAGATTGAAGGGTGGTATGTCTGAATGACTCATCAGGTGAAAGATTTTTCTTTACCAGAATGTAGAAAATAATACAGCACACTGGAATGTTTTGCAATCAAAAAAACCCCTTTTTGGCCATAAACCAGGAAGCAATAGCTAGGTGATACAAGATGATCACATGTAGGGACTTTTTACAGAGGCAGGTAGTGATAGACCAAGGGGTAATGGCTTTAAGCTGAAAGAGGGTAGGTTTAGATTAGATATTAGGAAGAAATTCTTCACTGTGAGGGTGGTCAGACACTGGAACAGGTTGCCCAGAGAAGCTGTGGCTGCCCCCTCCCTGGAAGTGTTCAAGGCCAGGTTGGATGAGGCTTTGAGCAACCTGGTCTAGTGGAAGGTGTCCCTGCTGATGGCAGGGGGGTTGGAACTAGATGAGCTTTAAGATCCCTTCCAACCCAGACCATTCTGTGATTCTATGATTCCAAGTATATGGCAAAACGAGCCAAATGTATTTGGTAACTTCAAGTGCTTGAGCGTCTGTTCTTATTACTGCTACGTGTTTCTGTCAGTCACTACAGCAAACTACAGCAGTAGCTGACACAGATTACGTGTTGACCAGTTCATACAATTCAGAATTCATTTGTTACTTTGCTTGTCAGACAAATGACAGACATATTAAAAAAATCAAATTAGGATCCCTGATTAAAGGTGCAGTCCTTTTACTGAGACTAAATAATTCTGTTCTAAAGGCTGTGCCAAGCAATTATTTCTGTAACTGAATATTCTCCCTCATTATATCAATTATTTAAATCTCATTTTAAAATGTAAGTCAGATAACATTTTCTACCAAATCATTTCTAGCCAATCACCATCCAAAATACTCAAGATTGTCTCAGGAAAACGTTTCTTTTTCCCTCTTTTTAGTATGGTAGCTGGTTCTGTGTTCAAATTCTCTTTTTTGAGAAGAAAACCTTTCTACTGAATTAATTAAATAAAAACTGCCACCACATCAGAAACTAGTGAAACCTATGGGGAATTTGTTACTAAACCACTATGTAATACCCAGCTTTTAAATAACTGCTTCACAATCAACCTCCTTTACAGTCAAAGGATACACTCAGTTATGTGAAATTTGTTGAGGAATTTGTGGAGGAAAATAACAAGCAATTGAATTCCAAAGCGAACCTCTTAAAATTAAAAATAAAAGCTATTGCTGAAATATACATTAAAATTTGGCCCTGCTACCAACCTCAAACAATCTTTAGTTTGACTGTAAAAGCCATCAAGACTTAAAGACTTTTGTCACTTTTGGTTTGACAGTTGCCCTCCACAGCTCTGTGCCTCACCAACCCATATATATTCCCACTCCATTTTTCCCTCTACTGCAAACATCCCAGACCATTATATGAACTGAAACTTCAGTTCAGTTTTGAAACCAGGATTTCAAAAATGACTCCACTAGTTTCATCCTACTTGTTCACATAGCAGCCACTGTGCACTGAACGGCAACTTTCCGCATATAAAAATAACCGTGCACATTTATGGAACAGCTTTTGACAGATCAGCTCTACATTTTATGCAAATCTTTCTGACAATAAGGGAGCTACAGTTTGGAAAAACAGTCCAGTTCACTATACTAGGTTAGGAGGAGACTCTCTGCGCTTTCATACACAATATTGTCAGACACTGGAACAGGCTGCCCAGAGAAGCTGTGGCTGCCCCCTCCCTGGAAGCATTCAAGGCCAGGTTGGATGAAGCTTTGAGCAACCTGGTCTAGTGGAAGGTGTCCCTGCTGATGGACACCTTCAGGGGGGTTGGAACTGGATGATCTTTAAGGTCCTTTCCAACCCAAACCATTCTGTGATTCCCACTGTAGAAGTGTATGCATACTGTCATTTATTGCATATAAAATAATAAGGAATTCAATGTAATTGTTTTGAAACCTGCTGGTTTTGAAAAGGTACCTGAAAGTTTCCTCCTACAACATGTAATGTCTGGCATTTTTCACACCAGGCAGCATCAGAAATCAAAACTGAACTCATTAGTAGAAACTCCAAGTCCTTAGCGGTCACTTCAGCACAAGCAAGGGTCTGTATGAAAGCTGACCTATGTAGTAGTTTGTATGAAACCTGTGGAGGCAGCTTGTATGGAATGAGCCACATTAGATCTATAAGGAATCATAGATGGAACAGGAATTGGTCACTGACACATTTAGAGAACTGACCCTCCTGACTGAGGGCTGACAATGCACTCGGAATCGCTTGTAACAGATCCCCGTTTTTCCTTACCAAATGTCTCACTTAACAGAAGATTAGTGCTGCAAAACAGATCACTGTAGCACAATGCTAGTTACAGGTAACTTCAAGGACTAAGTTAATTGCAAAATTAGGGGTTTTTTCCCTAAAATAGAATTGTATATTTAATTGCTGAGTCTCATTTTACAGAAGACTCAGTTTCAATAGATTTTCCATTAAAGATGAAAATCTGTGCATTCATACTATTAGAAAAGCATGTATTGGTCTTTTCATACTCTCTTGACTCTTAATGTAGTTTCACAATTTTTATAGAAAATATTCTGAAAAAGAGACAAAACTACATGCTATTCTGTCCCTGGCTACCATCTGGAAGACTTTTTACGCACTTTGGGCCTTGAAGATTGTGAATCTCATGGTCAATGATAGGCAGCTTAAAATACTTTGAAATCTTATCAAACATTTTAAAATAGAGAAAGCTAATATGAGGTTTTTATGATTCTGAAAAGGTCTTTCATATAAAAGGGTATCTAAGAGTATACCCAGAGACAAAGGATTAAAGATTAATCAGTCATTTTAAATTCTCTGTACTGATGTATAACAAAAAAACCCCTTTTTATTCTTCTCTGAGGACAGACAGATAAAGAGCAGATAGAATCGCTTTCAACAAATCATCAGAAAAATAACACCTTCTTGTACCCTAACTTTTTTCTGGTCAGTATTTGACTCATCTCGATAGCACTGTATTCTTCCTACTTCAAATAAATATATGAATCTTGGGAATGACAAAAAATGTTTCTAATTTTAAAAAATAACTAAAAGCAGATGCTGGAATCCCCAGTAAACTCTTCCAGCTGCTACTGAACCACTTGCAACCCAAGTCTATTTAATCTGGATACCACTAATGGCAAAAAGGAAAACTTGCCTGCCAGACCTGCACGCCCAAGCTAAGGCAGTAAGTACAAAACTGAAAAATATCTTACGATATCAAATGCATTTAATCGAGACCCTCTGAGTGATAACACGTCATTCTTCTTATGGTCAATGGCTAAAAATGGTTATTTTTTATTGAGGCTAACTCCAACACAGATAAACAACGATGAGAATCTGTTATAAATCAGTCATTTTTATTAATCCCAGTTCATATTTCCAAAAAGAGTCTTTTGGTACAATACTTTAGAGATACAGGAAGGTTTATGTGCACTAGTGGAGAACGTCAGGGTGCTGTTAATATTGATTAAAGTAAGATATCAAAAATTAATATTTAGCAAGGTCATTATGACAGATTGATATGACATGCAGGTCCTCAAGCCTGATGTCTTATCATTTCTGAAGAGACAGCCTGTTTGAAAAAATAAAGGCAGGAAAAGAAAAAGTCTTACAGGTGGCACTGAACTGACAGCAGCATATAATATAAAAGCGCTTTGTCATTCACATAATGTCTGGGGTAATGAAATGAATTCACTTTCTGGCTTCCTCCAGTTTGCAGTGCCAAAGAACACTGTGTTATCAGCACAGATGGAGCATGCATGGTTCTGGAGAAGAGCCTGGTGCAAACTGCAAACAAGCTTCTTTGCATACCAATGAATCCCTGAGAATCAGACCTTTGCCGTCAAGTGACAGGTTTGGAAGCTCTATAAAAACGAACTAATCCCAGTGGTCTTGTCTAACTGCATGTACTGTCAGTGCTCAGGACAAGAAACTGGGAAACACAGCACATCTTGCAGTCATGGCTACTACTTTGGTGAGAGATATCAGGCAGATGAGGGATTTCATCCAGGTGCCAATACTATTTTTTTTTTTTTTTTTCTCCCTTCCCCCTCAAGGTAGCAGAGTGGCAAGAGAACAACAGTCACTGGGATTAAAGATGCATCAATATTTCCAGAAAGAAAAGGAGGAAAAAAGTTTCAGAGAATAATTTTATGAATCAAAAAAATCTCAAAAGCTACACATGGCTAACTAGATATAAGAAAGTCTTAAGATGTTACCCACATATAAGAGCTATACTACTAAGTTTATAAAAACAAATCCTTTCTCCATCTGTCTTCCGCCTTGGCACATAGTTATTATTAAAACATATATCATATTCTTCCTCTTAAACCAAACAGCTCTTTGCCAGTAGGCTTAAACTACATGTCCTATTTTGCACAGTGATTAACTAAAGACACGCATGGGCACCTGTACACCTTAGACAAGGGAGAAGAGAGGTGGAAACTTCAAACAATGAAGCAATAAGCTTCAAACATTCTTGAATTTGGTAATTTGAATTTTCTGATCAGACCCTTCAACTTAGGCTGCTTTAATCCCACTTACATTTACCTTGCACAAAGCCCATGATTTGCTCCTACATGTTGCATAGCAGTTCTCTTAAGTTTATTCAAACCAACCAATCTTGGTCTTGTTAAACCAAGGGAATTTACAATGATATGGGGATTGTTTGCATGGACCAAAGCAAACTAGATTTGGCCCATACAAAGAACAACTACAGGCAGATGCTTTTAAATACTGACAGTAAAACAAGAAATAAAATATTGAAAAAAAAAATATTGTAAAATAGTGGCATACCCATCAACAAACTCAGAAGTCTCTGGACCTTTGAACTCACCCCCACAACTCTGTACAAGCCTTGGTCATTTATACCTAATATGCAAAAGAAGAAGGAAAAAAAAAAAAAAGAGGCAGAAGATCATATTTAGCATTAAAACTTTACCCAGAGCAACAAATTCTCCTCAAAGGCAAACAGACCACACAGTATTAAAACAGTCATGAGAACAACATTATAAATAAAGTATTGCAAGGATCCTTTATTTCTGTACTTTCAAGACAAGTTCATGTTACGTTTTGATAAAGGTTTCATGTACCTCGATTCCACTTGAGAAACTGGGAGTAGAAGCAAACAGGGACAAAGCTTTGCTTGAAAAAAAAAAAAAAATCACTGTTTTCAGATTTTTTTTTAAATGACATTTTGGATACATCAGCATCCATATTCTAATAACACAAGAACTGAACCAACAAATGCTAAATTAAAATTTCTTTAATAAATGCAATTTTGCTTTTTTCCAAATACATGGCTGACAAAAAGAGTTTGGACAAAATAAAGAAAAACTTGAGCCTTTTCCCAGTCCTCAAAACCAATGATTTTTCAAGTTTGTAAATGCTTTTCATTTAAGATACGAGGCTTCATTCCAACCCACTGTGGTCCGTATACTAGTTATGTCCAGAGGCACCACCACAGGTTCCTGAAATCAGTATTCCTGGTTTTGCTTCAGATGAATAGAGTAGCCATAACCAGCATAATATTTTCAATCCCCTACTCTCATTTCATGTGGATACTGGACCGCTTTTCTGTCATTTCTCTGTGCCCTTCCATCCTCTCACACATAGTCACTTCTCTACCTTTTTTCTTTCCCTGCTTTTGCCTTCCTTTACCACACCCAGTTTTATTCCCAGGGAAGTAAAACTATGAATATAAATTGAAGGAAAAGAGGAAGGAGAGAAAGAACAGGAAAGGAAAAGTGCAAAAGAAGGTACGTCTTTGTCTGCTGTATTGTTTCAGAGCCCATATAGTGGGAGGTAAAATATTACAGTCCTGAAGCTGACACAGATGTTTGAGAGGCCACATAACAGGCAGCCATCTACAAACACCACCATACTCTACCTCTATATTCACATTGGCCTGGAAGAGTAGAAATGCCACAAAATACCTGTGCTTCTCTTCCAAAGAAATCTTTTCAAATAACAGATTATGTGATACCCTTCTATAAAATATCCTTCAACAAAGGAAGACTTATGGAGAATTCCCAATTTCAATACCAAACCATTCCAACCCAGAGAAGGAAAATGAAAACCAGTCATATGAGAAAAAGTTTCTTCTCAAATAAATATTAGATCAAGTATGTAAAAATCATTAGCCTTTTAATGAATTGCTCTCAGACACAGCCATAATACACAGCAATAATTCTCAATATGGTGGAGAGAACTTTGCATTTTCTACTTCCTCCTCCTCCTGCCTAGCCTTGCTATAATCCTTCCCCGCTTCTCTCAACCCCTCCTTTCCTCACACAGTCTGCAGCCTTCTCAGCCATCCCAGATCTTTGAGAGCCTGCTTAACAGCTCCTGTTAGCACTTCTCCATCCTCAGGGATCTGACGGGCTATGGCAGCAGCTGCTACTTCTCTCGGTTGCTCCACCTGGGCAAAACTGGCCCTTTTCTTTCCCCAGGATGCAGGCACCACTGTAATGATGCTAAGTCTTAAGCTAGACGTCATGTTCTGAGCCGGCTCAAACTAACAGAATAAGTCAGATCTTCAGTATTTCATCTGTGGTCATCAAAAAATCACAGCTCTAGAATACGCTCACAATTAAGCTGTGTGCAAAAGAAAGAACTGCAAAAAACAGCTATGTGGCCACAAAACTATTCTTCTCAAAAGCTATAAACCCAACCAAGTAAGCTTTCCAATGATCTCCAGAGCAAGTGTGACAGCATGCTACATACCATTTAAAGACTGCCAACACCAAAAAATAAAATAAAATTTAAAAAAAATCACTCCAAACAAGGAAGCACTAGGAATCCATCCTGAGAGGAGCAATTCTTTTTTTACTTCACATTTCTCAGAGGTGTTCAGGAAAATTCTGGTACAAAAGTAACACCAAGCTTGTTAATGCTCTGCTAAAATGCATCACCCTTTTTTTATACAATGTCCGCCATTACTTTTAGTACAACAGAACAGGCATTCTGCGTCATATGCAAGAAGCTAAATACCTAAAGAAATACTGTCACAGTCAATCACAGCTCCGCTTTTGCTTATCTCAGAAGTTGTTTTGTGACTTCCTGTGATTCTAACATTAAAACTAGGGAGAACAAAACTGTGCTGACCCCAAACATACATTTACAGGCTTAAAAATAATTAAGGTCAAACCACAGAAACTACTGCTCAATATTAAAACAGACGTGCAGCACTGAAACTAAGACAATCTTCCAGCAATAATCATGAGTCTGTGATAGTAATTATCAGATAATTGATCAGTTTCAAATTCATCAACCTGAAAAAAGCACAGCTAATTGCTAGCAGACATCAAGAAGTGCAAAGAGGAATTAATATTTCAACATAATTTTAAATGATACCTTTAAACATAACTTTAAATTATGATTTATTTAAAATATACAAACCTGGTTTGAAACAGTATTATTTCTGATTTAATCTGCATTTTTCCCATCTTAAACACTTTCAAAAACTGATAATGCTTGGCATTTACAGAACACAATTGACGAGATGACTCACTGCAACGAATAGCTTACCACTGACTAAAATGTTGAAGGGTTCAGACACAGTGTCTGCTGGCTCAACCAGTCACTATCGGCAACTCGGAGTGGTAAAGCCCCATAGCATAATTTCCTTCATATTTACATTATCTCAAGAAGTTTGGCTGTCTGATACTGGAATTTGGCACAGGTAGACAATTTGTGAAACATGCTTGGAAAAATAAGGTATTTTAAGTAAGTAAAATAGTAATTTATACTACTGTAAGCAAGGTATGGAGGCAAGTTTACCCTGCAGCTGGCTCTGTACATGTGGCTGACACAGCCTAATAATACAGACTGCAAATACAACTTTTTATGTCAAACTCCATAGTACACAAACAGCCATACAAGTGACACTCTAAATTCAAGGTAACACCAGACTTTTTTTTTTTCTTAGGTTTTTTACTTCTTCCTCACCATCTTTTCTTTCTTTCTCATGAGCAGTCAGACAGGACAGACAGCTCAATGCTGCCATCTCCCTCTGCAGCTCAGATTAGCAGCTCCGGCACTTCTAAAATCAAGACAAACGCTACTCTGGCAAACACTTACCTACCACCTCCTCACAGAAGGTACAACCAACTACTTGCTCACAGTCTTTACTACTGGAGCAAACAGCTCTTTGATGTTTTTATGAACTTTTACCCTGTTTTATTATTCTCAGTACAGAATTATAATTAAATTACTCCAAACAGAACCCCAAAATGGTCTCTCAAGAGACAAAACACAGGTGCATTGCCAACCAGCATCATGCTCAGTATGTGAGAGACAGGCTGCATATCTTGATGCCTCAGCATCTCCTACCAGGTAAAGCACAGCAAAATTCTTATAAGGCAATGCTGAATCAGAAGCTTACATGCATTTTAACCAAGACACTGCCTTTGATTCTTCTATTCGTTCAGAGCAAATAATTTCCTTCTTGGCTTTATAAAAGGGAACATAACTGAGAAAAAATTATCCAGCCATTGACAAGTTTATGTTCAATATCTCTGTTAAGCTCCTCTCTCTCTGAATACCAGACTTTTTCTGCTATGACATGACAAGACTATTCTCAGTTTCCACCCACACTAGACTGTCCTCTCTTTCCACCCACGCCAACCTCACACCCATTATGATTAAAAGAGATAAAAACATGGCATACAAGCACAGTCTCTGAAGAGGCATCTGTCCTGTTTTCTTCTGCTGAACATAACTTGCCTTTGATGTGTTATCATTAAAGTTAAATAATCAAGTAGCAATTGTTTTAAGAACAAGTATGGGTTGTTAAAATCTGCAGCCTGAAAGATGCATTTTCTTCATCATATAACTATTTGGCCAAACCCTTCTGAGGCAAACAACTAACTGTCCTCCTGGCCCTCCATTTATTTAGCTTGGCAGACATCAGCAGAAGGTCCTGCAGGTTCTGCAGAAAACAGAAACTGATCCTTCAGGAATGGTTCAGTTAGTCTCATGGATGAAGTCAGGATTTTGTCTGTTCAGCTTTTTTTTTTTTTAATGCAGTTTATGTTAAATTCAGTATTGATAAACAGAAAATCATCAACAACTGCTTGAAATGCAATGACAAATCAAGTTCATTGAAACAGGCCTAGGGGGACTGCTGAGCTCTTAGAAGGTAGTATCTCATCTAAACCCATTCTTGAAATCCTGGGAAAATAAATATTTATTGAATACTGATTTTTTTTTTCTTAAGTACTCCTCAGAACAGAATTAATAGATAAAAGTAATTTTCATTGGTAGCAATTACCACAAAGCACTCTGTTGACTGCAGGTCTTACAAAGGCTGTGTACAAGGGTTAGTGAAGCTGCAAGGTCTCCAAAGACAGGAAATACTGCAGCTAACTTTAGCAATTTTAATTCTCTTCCAAGTATGCTTCAGGGAAGATCCCACTACGGGGAGACATGCTTCTAATCTATGCAAGCTTATAATCTGTCTTGAACAAGAATATTAGATGGGGTTACACATGTATTTTGCACCTTCTTACATGCCCTTAAATCAAAGCATAAAGAAGAGACTACCCATCCACCCACAGCCACGAGAAGAAACCCCATATCTAAATCAGTTTTCCAAATAGCCACTTCATGAAGAACGTGGTCACACTTTTTCCACAGTTATGTTCTTCTTTCCTTGCAGGGCATCAAAGAAAGAAAGGAAAAAAAAGAATATTTGAAGAAAGCTATTTGAAAACACCTATAGATAATAAATCAAAATATTACTGTACTCCATACTGCTTACAGTAAGCATGATTCATAAGGCATTCTAAGGTAACCAGCCACTGTGCTGTAGACCAAAACCAGCTTTTCATTACATGACCACATGCTACCCTTTTCATCAAATCTGCCTCATCCAGTGCAAAAAGATCCATTCTATATTAAAGCATGGCTTTGTAGTGAAGGCAACTTATCTGTAGGATGCCAGCTTCATCTGCAGTGTTTCCCAGCTGAAATATTCAGATTGTAAATGCCAGTAACTGAATTTTTTAAAGTAATGAGACAGGCAAGCCTTATTTAAAAAATATTCAGAAGAACAAAATGAACAAAAATAACACCAGATAGAATATGGCCTAACCTGGAATAACATCGTTAATGCATCAGACAAGACTGATACAAAAAAGTGCAAGAGAAAAAGGATTTCTGACACTTCTTGCTGTTTAAATGATAAATTCTCAATATCACAAAGGCTGCTCAGTCTTACTAATAATACTGTATAGTAAGTGCATATATGGAAGACGATGCTTTTAAGACCCTGCATTGTCAAGAAGCGTGACCAACCCATTCTTCTGTTCAGCTGTCTTATTTAAGCTGGACTGTGATACCAAGATATAAATATTCTGCCCTGTGCAACGCTAGATCATTAGAAAAAAATATACAATTCTTGGAAAATCATAAATCTCTATACAATATGATACACAATATACAATGCAGTGAGTCTCAGAGTGGCTGGTCACCTCACATTTCAGTGTGTCCATACAAGGACTGTTGTCTCCTCACACGGCAGCAATATCAAAAGCTGGTATTATCCAGTGCACAAATTACACAGGGTCTGTGACACAGAGCCTCTCCACAATCATAATCCCAACTACCTCTTGAATACTGTCTGCATTCTGACCTTTCTCAGCTGACTCCAATTTTGAAGGTACAGAAAGAAGCACATAGAATGCTAAGTCTGCCCAGCACCCTTGGCTCCGGTGTAAGACTAACTCCATCAGATGTACTTCAATATATTTTGTTATTCACTTGCCTGCTCAGCTCCTCTTCTTCTGTCTTAAGTGACTAAACAGAAAACCTCCATTCAAGGTCCACAAAATAAATATTACATTTAGTTTGATCCAACAGCAAAGCAAAAGTACAGGAATTGCCTACAAGACACAGTTTTTTTTTTCTCAGCTGTTGCACACAAACATTGGCTTCCTTTGTCAAGAGAGATGCTACTACCCCTTCTGAGAACTTTTTGAAAACACTTTTCTTGAGGGAAAGCCATACATAAAAGGCAGAGACTGGCCAGAAGGAAGCTCCTGCTCCTGCCCTGTTCAGTGTAATCAGTGTAATATCTACCATGTTAAGTCTTTCCCAGACAACTACAGGAGACTGGATCATACTGGCCTTCTTCGAAGAGCAGACCAGCTGCACCACTCCCTTCAAACTGGTTGGGTTGATCATTACCTCGTATTTCAACAGCATTGATGCACTTTTTGATGATGGTAAACCCTATCTTATCCAATTGTGCACCTAGAAGGAAAAAAAAAAAAAAGTTTGAAAAGTTTTAAAGCACTATTATTATGTCTTTTACTGAAAAATAAGGCTGGACTTAATCACATAGCTAGTACTTCTCAGGCAAAACTGTAAATATTCTGGAATATTCCGGAATACTTCATCACTTTTCTGGAGTAATTCCCCTTTTCTCCTTCACAACCCTGCCTAGCCTAAGTAAAGACTCATTCTGGTGGTAGTGGCTTCACTGAATCTGTTCACAGCAGCAGCCTTTGAAGAATGGGATCTCTGATTAGATACATATGTTGGCAGATGCAAAATGGAATTTAACAGTACTTACTGCAACATCGACAACATCTGAGAGAGTTAACCAAATGGGACAAGGAAGCACTTACGATGAAAAAACATAATCATCAACAGCAGGGCTTTTACTGAGTCCTACCCTAAGCCAAAGAAATTCCCACACTAAAGATACAGGACACATGTATATCATTTCACAGCAGTTAATGATCTGACTACGTAAAAGCAGATGCATTAACAGGACAACAGCTGAGATACAGCATTCCTTTGTTGTTCCTATCTTATTCTTTTTCTTCACATCAAAACTTCATTTAAAAGCTTATATTGTAAAACTGCCCTTCCCCCAAACATCTGGTCTCCTTGCTCCTAGGGACCTCATCTTGCAACATGAAAATAAAAATCTGTGGAAAAACTTCTACTAATAACACTAGGATCCAGTTTTAACTAACAATTTAATATTTATTTTTTAAAAGCAAGCACAAATTGCCTGACAATGCAAGGATAACTTTTCGCTCATATGCTTTGCTAACAGAAGAAAGTTAATGTCATTTAAAGAAAGCCATCTCTTGTACTTCCATATTATGGTTCACATTTTAAATACATGCATTCAGGTTTTTTGCTGACCTTTATGTTCAGCTGTGATTGCTTTTAAAACCATATTTATGCATAATAACAGATGTGTACACACAATCTGGATTAAGATATGGTGATGCATTTACACACAAATTAACCTTTTTTGAGTCAATGTCAAGTATGAATTAGAAAAAACTTGCCTTTCTCAACTGTAAAATGTTAACAAACATCAGCTTTAATAGTAATTCAAATACTTACTTGCCTCTTGTTTTGCATTTGCTCTATTCAAATTGACGAACAGCTAATGCAAAAAGAGCAAAAAGACGGAAATTTTTATAAAGACTTATATGAAACTGGAAACAAGACACTCATCATCTTAATGCCCAGTAGGCACAAATACAGCTGGCTACAGCTAGAACACCTTTAACTACAACAGCTCTAACAGTAGGATCAGAGGTCCGTGGCCTCTCACAAATTTTTACTTTTTAAGGAGTGACATTTTTTAAAAAGTCTCAACAAATACAGTTCCTTAGGAAGCAGAACAATGTTAGTTATAGCCACTGAAATTAAATGTGATTTACATCCTCCAGGTTCCTAGGTTTCTCTGCAGGTTAATTTCCCACAGTTCAAGTTTTTTACAATGATGTCAATAAAACCTACTGCTAAAATCTCCTCTAACCTATTACTGGGGACAGATGCGTGGTTGTGTCATTGACAAGAAAACTCTATTATAATTTTTGGCCAACAAGACCAATATAATACTTATGACTGTAAGAATAATCTGCAGTGTGTTTCAGTTCTGCAGTTCAGACTCATTTCCTGATGTGAACCAGAAGGTAAGCAAATTCAAGTACAGTCTCATTCCCTTTGACAGGGATTTTTTTGATCTAGGTTTTGGGGTTTTTTTAATATAATAACAATAATACCACATAACTAACTCATACAAGTCTTGCCATTGGAATACAGTATGCCAGCATAAGGCTAAGCGGACATGCTTATACTAGACATTTTCTAGAATGCCAATATCATGATTGTGATGGGAAACCATTTATATAAATCAATATTGTCATTATAATGAAAAATATCTCTTATCAGCATTAGCAGTTATCTGTGCTCAGCTTTACTTTACTCATCTGTCCTGACTTTTATTTCACTTTTATTCTTCCTTCATTGACTCTGTCATTTTGCAAACTACATAATCCCAGTTTGTTGAAGTATAAATGGTATCAGGAAGCAGGGGGTGAGAGAATTTCTCCATTACACTATAAATTAATATTAAAAAATATATATATATATGCTTACAGCTTCTTTTCCATCCAAGGCTTCCATCCACAGCTTCCTATCTTCCTCAGAAAATGCCTGCATGGTCACAGGAACTCCAGGTCTGCAAATGTACCAACCACACAAACTGTATTCACCCGCAACTAAAAGTCTTGTCAAATTCTACTTCCAACTACAAGCCAAAGCCCATTGTCCTAAAAGTCAGGATTGGGTTTTTTTGTTTAATTACTGATTAATTTTCTGAATTCTAAATAGACTTGCTTTTGTGTTGCTGTGCTGTGGCATAAAAATGGCTTTTGTCACCGTATTTGATGTGTAGTCTTAGAGCAGCAGCAACAATGACTATAGCTTTTCAGTAAATATCTTAGAAAAAATAATCAAGTCTTGATGCCGTATCTCATTACAAAATTCCACTATTATGACTTCCCTAAAAAAGCAAGGATGGACAACTGTGGGACATAAGGATTAGTGAACAGAGACAAACATAAATCTACTTTTGTATTTATATAATAGGAAGCTAAAAAGAGTAATTGTGTGGTTCGGCATAGTGTACAAAGCAAGGAGAATAAAAAGCAGAACAGGTTATTTGGGTAATTATTCGCCGGCCAATTAAAAGAAAAAAAATCATCATATTCAGCCTGCCAATACTTTTGGCAAATTTGTAAATCTCATTATATAGAGATGGATAGAAATAGAGAATTAATTCATAACATTCTCTCCTTCTTTTGTATTAAATCTATTTTCAAGTAGCAAAATAGCTGCAGGGGGAGATATTGTCTAAAAACAACAGCACAGAGAAAACCAGCACAAATCCCACTTTTACATAAAACTGTAACTGTCTACACACCATCTTCATATTTTCACATCTAGAGAAATTTCTAGTTCGTTTTCACCTTGCCATAAATTTCATCAAGCCACACAATTTAACTGCAGCATTAAACGCTGTAAGTACAAATACCTCCTGCTCAAAATCTCTTTTCAGTCAACATGTGAGGACAAGGCACACACACATCCTCTAGCCAACCAGCCTAAACTCAGGAGACCCAACTGTAACTTTGGAAAATGGCAGCAATCAAGCAAGTCATTCTCTTTGGATTAGTTAAAGCAAGAAGACTATTAAGCCATAAAAATTGTATCTTTCTCAGTGACAGGCACTGAGCTCAGAGTGGGTGAGGGAAGCCTTAGTTTCTGCAACTAATAACTTTTATGATTAAAACAAGACATAATCTTGGTATTAGCAATAACAGTAAGTAAAGCAGCTTCTCAAGCCATACCAGCTTTTTTCAATGCAAACTGGTCTGCTAGCAGTGCAGAGCTGCAACCATCATAAACATGCAAACAAACTTAATCACTCAGTAGAAAAAAGTATCCTAAGTAATTATCCAATTAACTAAAAAAAACACATGCTGCTTTGGTTTTTTCTTATCTACTTTCTTTTACTAGTTAAAACTACAACCAAATTAGTTACTTTTATGTAGGGCAAACTTTCCTTCTTTTCATTAAAATTGTAACTATCAAAGTATCAAATAGTATCACCCAGATGCAATATATCAAACCCAGTATATGCTGCATGAAACATTATTTATTTGCCTTCAAATAAAAGTCAAGAGACAAAGCCTTCCCTCCTCCTTGTTCTGTATTGGTAAAATTAAAATCTAAGTAGTATTTCAGAAGGATAATGCTCTTTATCAATAGAAAGTCTTTTTCCTACCCCAAAAGACCTCTGCTTTCTCCTGTAAGATTTAAATCTCTCTGCCATTAGCCACCTCCAACTAAACATGATAGAGTACTAGAAACAGAAAAAATATCACTTTCTAGAGATTTAGACAGGATCTTGGCACCCTCAGAGCTTATAGTCATAGGTATCAGAATTTAAAGAGAAAAGAATCATCTCTGTTTTCTTTTTAAAAGAAAAATCCATAAATATTCAGCTAGCTCCAAACTATGCTGAAGTCATGAACAAGGCTGAAAAGTCCTTCCTAAAATTTTACCATCTTGCCTCCTTCCGCAGCACAGGAACTAAGGAAACCCCATGACCAGCCGTCAATCTGTATGTTATTTTTTAACTTGGACAAGCTGAGGGGTAAGTGTGCCCTGAACTGATACCAAGGAAACAAGCTAATGGCCTGCAGCACAGAACTAATCTCCATGGGAACACCTCAGTACTACACACATGTATTATTAAAAGAAAAATGTCTGAAATCAAGGTCACAGTGGACCAGTTGTGTCTATTATATCCAGACAGAAAGATGGATTAGACTTTTCCCACTTTTACCAGAGAAGAGAATGAAAAAATGTTTTGCAAGATCCAGGAAACACAGCTCTCCATCCATCTCTGTTCAAACTCCAGATACCCTGTTGAGCAGAGATGACACACAGAGGGGGGCAAACTGACATTTCTCATGGAACTTTCTTAGCAACTTTACCAGACTCAGTTTGAAATCTGTTATTCATATTGACCAATACGCTGACACAAGAGGAGCTGATGTCAAGAGTTTAAATTCTTTCTCCCTTTCCTACTGTTGGGACAGCGTTAGAACAGTTAACCCACATCCACCTTGAATCAAAAATTAAAGTTCAAACTATGCTGTAGACTTGTGACAAATGCTACCTGAGCCGCAAATGACTATCTTGTCATCTGCCACGTGAGCTGGAATTTCTCAGATGCAGTGGTAGTTTGGCATTCCTTTACCCATTGCTTGTTACACAAACAGGCATGCCTCAGGCAGACCAGGCTGACTGGCCACACAAGCAAGGCACAGCCTCTAAGACTGTGCATATGATCCTTGTCACAGACATATTTGCAGACCACTAGCATTCATAGGACAGAGGGGCCCAACAGCATTTGCTACGCTGCATTTAAAGTGAAGGGGCACTACGAATTTGATCAGAAAAAAAAACAGAAACCCATAAAACTTGAAGGCCTACTACCTGATAAATTTGAATGTAATAAATTGGTTTAAGTAAGGAGCAAATGTATTGGTTAAAAAAGCTCAGAAAGGACAGATGCAAAAACTCAGCGACAGTGCACTAATTTATATCTAGCATTTAATGCTTGATATGATCCTGTTCTGCAGATACAGTCTGCATCAAAAGACCATGGCATTACCACAGCTGTACTTATTTGCAGAACCCTATTAAGGTGGACTCTCTCACCATCATAAATGAATACTATAATGCTGACAAAAAGCAGTATTTGTCATATTTTAAGATCCTTTTAGCAAAATAAATAAGCAGCTCTTCTCTTTCAAAACAAAGTCACAAAATAGTGATGTTTCAACATGGCAGTGGTAACAATGCTCAAGATGATTACACCAGCCACAAAAAGCCTCAAAATCCCAATGACCATCTTATGAATCTGAGAAGCCAGCATAAACCCTCAGCAACATGTCATTTTGGAAAGCAGGCTTGTCATACAATATGGTGATGACTGTATGAATTATTACTGTGATCGTAGCCTTTCACTATAGCTATATGTACTTCAATTTAAGCCACGTTTCATCACTACAGTAATATTAATTCATAGTAGTTTCTCTAATTTTTTTCTATGCTTTTCTTTTATGTAAGCTCAGACAATGTCTGCATTTCATTTGAGATCCTCCTTGCTTCTACTACACAGAACTGAGGTAAAAATCCAGTGAGCCACGGCAGCGCTTGCCTGCTCCTCCAGTGACTATTTCCCATTGCCGGTCTGAACACGCATTGAAAAAAATTAGAAGAAAACACAGCAGTAATATCACAGTAATGCTAATGACTACCTAGAGTCCTCCCTGGTGTGTTTCACGAGCTTACCTGTCTGAAGCTTCTATGTCAAAACAGAATCGCCTGTCTATAGTATCTGTATTTCTTTTGGTACAGTATGTAAGGACAAAGAGCTCCTCATCACCCTGTGAAAATAAAGGTTTTATATGCTTAATCTAGCAACTGAAAGCTTCAGTAAGCCAGCTATACAAACCCAGTAAAGTAAATTTACATTAAAATAATGGCAAAAGCTACACTGAAAACTGACACTTGCAGAAGAGTTTGCTCGTGGTTGCCATTCAGGTCTCTGACAATAGCACATAAGTTCCATGGTCATTCACAGGACATAAATGCAAAAATATTGAGTCCATTTTAGCTGGTACTTTACAGCATGACACAGTACCACAGTCATTTAAACTAACAAAAAAAACCTGCTATTAAGATTCTGAGCATTACAATATAAGCACACAAAGAGTCTAAGAGACTTCTCCCATTTTATGTCAGTCACAGCAACTTCCGTAGTAAAGGCTATTGCTACAGTAACAAAGTAAGTCTTCTTTTCTAACTGTAATCTTACAAAAACAGTTCTTTCTTCAAGACCAACCAACACTAGGATCCTATTTTACCCTTAAGTATTCAAAAATCAAATAAACTTTTCTGTGAATGCTGCATCAGTTGTACTGGATTTAATAAGGATTAACTGTACATTTTAATGATTTCTTGTCTTATTCAACATCTCCAGGCACAGGAGGTTGTCACTGAAGGATTAATCGCATAGTAGGTTTCAAAGTGGAAGATCTTTTAATACAAAAAATTGCTTCATAAGTGTTTTAAAATGCCAAATGCTTACACACGTATTATATTAACTATAATGGCTTACTACAAGTAATAAGTAAGTTGGGATAAAAAAAAATCAGAGGAGTACTGAAATGATTAAGGAAGCCAAATGCCACTAATTTTCAGTAGGGTGGGTATTCTAGAGCTTCTGAAAGATTCTTCCAAATTCAATATATTTGAATGTATTCAAATTCAATTGAATATATTCAAATTCACACAGCCCTCAAAACAATGAAAACCATCTTCCCTCTGCTCAAACTAATGGGATATAATGCCCTGATGAAATTCCAACAACGTGATTTTCTAACCAAATTTGAAGATACGGCAGAGTGCTGCATTTACAGGAATATTGATTCAAGCATTATTTCCCAGCTTCAGATATCCTTTTTCCTTGCAACAAAATGCATTTCATCCATATTAATGCATTCATTTAATGCATTATCTCAGAAGGTGCTGAGTGTCCTCAATTCCCAACTATTTCAATAAGAATTAAAGCCATTTTAAGATCAACAGTCTTGGGTCTTGAATATTTCAGATGCTATCAAAGATATCTGAAATTACATTCAGTTGTCAGTACAAATTATATTCCTATTAGAATCCTCTTTTCTAGTCCCTCTTGTAGTACTTACACCTCTGAAAGAAAAATCTGACTGCAGCGTGTAACAAAAAAAAAAAAAATTATCTAAGTCTATTATATTTTCCTGATTTATACTTTAACAAGTTAAATGCCTCATGGATAAACTAGTTTCTCAATGGTGAAACTCTGCATGTAATCTGTACCATGTTCTCTGGCCTTTTCAAAGGAAGCAACTTAAAAGTTGGCAGAATTCTTATCTACAATCCATCTGTTGCTTTACTTAATGTCCTTAAATGGCAGACTGAATTGCACAAAGAAGGAAGAAAAAACGGGGCAAGGGGGTACAGAGGGAAAGTACTTGACACATTTTATCTGACACATCCCCTAACCTTGACACAGGGCAAGTATAAGAGCAGAATATAAAAATATACTTACGACTTTCCCTCCTGATCTGTGTTCAAATGGAATCATGGTGAACTTCTTTGTCTCTTTTCGATACATGCAATAGTGCTTCACCCAGCTGGAACCAAAGGGAGCAGGTCCTACATAAAACAGAAGCATTAAATAGTAGGTACTTTTTCCACTTTGTACGTTTTCTTCTCCTGCTTTCCTAAATGATACTTATGAGTCCTGCTTAATTCCTAATAATGCACTATTTAAAACAAAGGTAAGAATTAAGAACATTATACAAAGTAAAACAAATGTTAACCAGTGCTTACTATCTAAAAACTGATCTATGTAGAATTTCACATTTATGCTTAATGACAAATTGAGAGAATTATTAATGTATCTGTCACACTACTACAGACAAAATAATTTTTGCCTAAAAAATAAATATCCCTTGGAAACTTCATTTAAGCAGAACATGGAAACCTAGTTTTACACTTGGTAAGTTGAAGCTAAATAACTGCAGATTAATGCATCTGTCTTGCAAGCTCTACATTACCTACTGATTAAGGTCTGACAACATTTGTTGACTCCAAAACCTACTCCTATTCATCGCTGCACACCCTACATAGAATACACTTACTTAAGAGCCCAGCCTATTGCATACAGTATTATTGAGAGTTACACCATAATGTTACCTGTTAAAACTTGGATTCTGACCCTCTGTATCTCCTCACTTCTATTAATTTACTTTTTTAAAAAATGGTCTGCAAAGGAATCTTCTCTTTTGAAGGCACCCTGCCCCAGAGTATCAGGAAAGTCCTTCACGAGAGGCTCAAGCTGACGGACGATTTCACAGCTCCTAACCTGCAAGGTCTCACTGCCCTGCTCCTCCCTAACTCAGATTCAGGCATACCCACCTCTTCTGAATCCTTTCAGCTGATTCTGAAGCTCATGATGACCAAGACTGGTGAAGTGACCTCACAGAATACATTTTTTTCTTATTTTTTACTGCTAGTTCTCTTCAAACTAGTTTCTGAATGCTGTAATACCAATGTTTCCATCAAGAATGTTGTACAGTCTTCAATTTGTGAAACATTTTACAGAAGTCTTTACATAAACAGTAATCAATTAAATATCATAAAGGTAAAATCTCTCAGCAGAATAAGTAAACAAACTTTCTATAAGGGTACACATCTAAAAAATATTATTTATGCAAAATGTGGGTTTTTTTAAAAAAGTTAATTGTCATTCCTTGAGCAGTAAGAGCTCTGCATCTTATTTGTCTTTTTTACTCGATTGAGAAAGATTTATAATTGTTCCAAGTATTGACTGGGTGATTTGTGTGATATGTACCTTCACAGCAAGTTTTTCGACAATAGCTACCTAGCGCGTAGCCTGCTTTATTTGATCCTGTGATCACAATTAGGTAATGGAAGCATATCACTGAACCAAGGAAATGACAGTCAATTTCATCACACTAAACTAGCCCAGTTTTCAGAGGCTAATTTGACAACTCATGCTGTTGTCTGACAACAAATGTTTGACAGTTCTAAGGGAGGTCATTAGTAAGGGACTAAAAATAACATGAAATGTGTCCTTTGGCCAAATAAACTTCCCCACATTCAGTCACCTTTGGTAAGAACTGTCACACTTTCAGCACCATGTTCTTTTTATGAGCCACGGTAACAATGCTATTAGAGACTTTGAACATTTACTCAGATGACTGTTTAAATAAAATGTAAATTCTTTGCATCTTCATGCTACCTTTAGAAATAAGACTAGCCTGTATGCATAATATGGGCACTACAGGAATACAAAAATACACCTTACTTTTTTCCTGAACGTAGAGATAGCCTTCCATCGTGAAGTGATTTGCTCTTTTATGTTCCTGCGGATTTCTTCTGATCTTGTTCATGAGCTCCTCTACCTCTGACCTTGTTCCTTCAAAACGATTTCGTGTCTAAAACAGTAAGGCAAAAACCCATTAGTAGAGAGACTGGAAGAAAGAATTCCTGGGAGACAGGAGTTGTAATAATTCTTTATGAAATGTCAGAATGATTCAGGCCATCTTAGGAGCACCAGTGCACAATTTTCATATACATTTACTCTTCAAGTTTTTTTATATTCTTCAAAATTGAAGCATGGTTTACGTATTAGCTGTTGTAACTGTGGAAAGCACACAAAGATTGCCAGAGCAGATTTCTAAAACAATGTGCTGACCTGTTTAAAAAGAAGTGAAATACTAAGTGCAAAATTACTTTGGATTTGAATATTTAAGTTTCCTTAGAAAAACATTACTACAGATAATTGGCTTAATTCATGAGATTCCTACTAGTTGTCAGGAAAGGATTTTCTGTGGTTGAGAAAAAGTGACAGAAAGGTCACCAATAATGTATAAACGTTGAGACTATACACACGCCAAATGTTTTGATCACACACAAGCAGAAAAGAACAAAACCGAAAAACAACAACAAAACACAAAGTCCAGTTGATTATTATTCCTGAATGTCACTCATTCCAAAGTTTGCAAGTAGCCACAAGAGAAATATTTATTAGAATATTAGTAAAAACAATCAGAAAGTAACCACACTATTCACAAATTATACAATAGAACTACATAAAATAACAGAGCAGCTCACACCTGACACAAGAAACTCTTTAGTTTGGTCTAAAAAACACTGACAATTGACCAATGAGCAAATAACAAAACCAAAACAATCATGGTAATACCTAGTTTTCTCCACATAGACACTTGCCCAAATTGCACAAACTGAAAAATATATATTTAAATTCCAAGCTAGTATTTTCCTCAGTTGGAACATGTGTTTTGAGGAAAGCAAATACTACCAGATGTGTGCTTATGTGTCTTGTTGCTTTTTGAGAGCACCTTTATTTTTCTGAAGACAGATGGGACTTCTGAAAATGCCGCCTTATCTATTTTATTTTTTCCCCCAGGACAAGCATACAGCTGCACACACTGACAAATGTATCATGAATATAAACAAGTATCCATTCTCGTACACAGACAGTTAACACTATTCTCCTGACTGGCCATTTGTACATGCAAATTCCAGATTTATGCTTGGAAGGAGTTTATTCACAGGCAGAAACACAGTCCATGCAAGCTGGTCAGAGCAGCCGCCCATATCCGTATGTTTTATGGAGGAAAGCTGAAGATATCCTTTAGGTGATGACTAAGAACAACTGCCTTCTTACCTCCAGGCAAAACAACTGCTCTGAACTGCTGGAGCTACAAGGATAGGGTTTGGGTTGGGGTTTTTTCGTTTTGTTTGTTTGGGGTTTCTTGGTTTTGGGGTTTTTTTCTTCCATTTTTGGGGGGAGTGAGGGGAAGGCAGGGTCTGGGCCAGGGTGTGCAGACGAAATCCACAGCATAATTTTCAAAGTAAAGATGACCTCAATGAAAAAGAAGGAAATTACTACAGCTATGCTGGCAACTCTCAGAGCACTCTCCATATCCAGCTAGGCTCTCTGTACTGAATCTTGTACCCTTTAATTTCTAACATGTCAATCCAGTGTTCTGATAGCAGCTCAGCTGTACCACAGCCAAGCTCTAGTTCATTTTTCCTACTGGATGTTTTGTTCCTCTTCAACATAGTTGAGAACATGCCATGTCCTCTCATGATCTCTTCGGATGCTTCCTTCTATTGTCCTCTTACCTCAGACAGCTGTTAAGCCTTGCCTCTTTTCTCCCTACAGTTGCTTGAAATCCAGGTCATTCTTTCTATCTATTCATAAAACTTGAGCTGTAATGTTCAATCTCTCTTGGATATCCTGGGGCACACTATACAATACCATTCATTCAATTGAAAATGCAGCTGCTGAGATTAGCTTGCTTTCTTATTGCTCCTCACTTCTTCAGACCACTTCACTGCCTCTTTTCCATCTGTAATCTGAAATCTAGCTCTTCAAAACTGTATCATAGCTTCCCTCTCACATTTCATTTCTTGCTCGTCCTGCATCAGTTCCCATCTACGCACTGCAGCTCCGTGCTGCTCCTCATTCTGTTAAACTAAGTAGAGAAAAGCAGCAAATCTGTCCTGAAATTTCCTCCAGAAGCACTCACTTCTGTGATGGAAGTCT